AGGGCTTGATCTCATGACCCTGAGATCACGACCTGAACTGAAATCAAGAGTCCCTCAGTCAACTGACTGAGCCACCCAGGCGCCCCTAAAGTGATAATTCTAAAGCAAACAACTGATCATCTGTCTCCACTATTGTTTCTGATTCTGTTGTGATGTCATGAAGGTTCAAACAGTAAGAGATACATGTCTGCCAGTGCTAATTTATTTACTGCTCATCTAAACTCTACTCCCCCCCACCCTTTTCTACTGTGGGAGGAAGCAGCTAATTAAAGCAGGTACTGAAATGAAAAAGGAAACCCAGGGAGAGTGACTCAGCTCATGGACAATGCATGGAGACAATCTAAGCCTAACAATCCGTTGGATTTTTCTCAACAAAGTGGTCTTAATCAACTTAGAGCCATTTATAGTTTCTGCTCTTCCCCAGGCTCCACTGTGGATCTTCTAGAGGTGCTAGTAGTTTTCCAGGTATTACCCACAGAACCTGCTCTGTCTTTTTAGCCTGTTTTCCTTTTGTTTACGTCATCTGCTTAATATATCTTTTGTTCCTTGGTTTAGATTGGACACTTGAAATACATCTCCTTGCTCTGCATCCTAAGCAGTCCTATAGCTAGGCCCCAGCCTAGGCCAGTCCCCTAGACCTTCACTAACCTAACCCAACAAAAACACAAGGCTAGGTGGGTTGTAAAGCATACAGGCTTTGTAAGACAGTGAGGCAAAATGAGCATTTTTTCCTATCTATAGCCATTCCCAGCATTCTTCTGCTGAAATAAAGCACTCTTAAATAAATAAATAAAGCTGGTATCTAACAGCTACCATGGTTGGGATGTTGGTAGAAGTGGTGGTGGTGGTGATGATCCACGCAGGGCAGGAGACCTCAGAGAGTCTGTTGGCAACTCCTGGTTTTTCTCCACAATATAAAGAATATAGAGATGTGCCGAAGGAAAATACCCCCGTTCCTGGCAGGACACAGTTGTGTCTGCAGGTGACGCCTGCAACTGCTAACGCGGTCACCTTCTAACCGTGAGGGGAGAGATGTTGACATGATGGAAACAGCTGCACAGAGATATGGAAAGGACTTGGGTTTTTGATGATGTTGTCGAGCCAACCTGGCGCCATCTTGCTTTCCGGTGGCTTCATATGCAGGAGGACACATTTACTGTTGAAGCCGCCTAAATGGATCCTAGCAGATTCAGACTCATTTGTAACTCATTAGATTCACCAAGCCTGCCTGGACTAGTAACTTCCTTCATCTAATAGTGTACTTGTTCTTTTTTTTTTTTTTTAAAGATTTTATTTATTTATTTGACACAGAGAGAGACAGCGAGAGCAGGAACACAAGCAGGGGGAGTGGGAGAGGGAGAAGCAGGCCCCCCGCCGAGCAGGGAGCCTGACGCGGGACTCGATCCCAGGACGCTGGGATCATGACCTGAGCCGAAGGCAGACGCTCAACGACGGAGCCACCCAGGTGCCCCTAATAGTGTACTTGTTCTAATCTTGGAAGGGTAAACAACAAAATCCGACTGGGACTTTGTTGAAATAATGTAGAAAGTAGGAATAAACAAATGGTGGGTGAAGGCAGCTTCTACTGCACTTCTTTCCTGTCCTTAACTGTATATCTAGAATCTAGATAACAGAAACCACATACCAGATAAGCAAGCTGCATCTTTCTTATAAATTTCCCTTGTTATGTCCCAGAATTAAGGTCAACTGTTAAGTAAAGTTACCAGTTCATCTTAGAAATTGGTTAGTGTTTACCTACTTAACGGTAAACTATCCAAATGGGACTCATTCCCTGGACAAACAGAATCTGAAAATTATGATATAACTAGATACGGGTTATAGTAAAGATATAACTTATAACTTCTTCTCTAGTACTCCTGGCCTGTAAAAATAGCAGAGCAAATTTTGTTTTGTAGGAATGAGTTGAAAACATCAGCAAAATTACTACTTTGGCCTTTTATACATTTTGGGGGTGATTGTTTATTTCTTCTTTGCTTATACTTCAAGGAACTTGTCTCTTCATCATGTTGTAAGTTGTGTTATCCCCTTCTTGCACATTACCCAATAACAGAAATGGAAAATCTTAAAAAAAAGGAAGCAAGCACAGTTTATTTTATAATAAATCCCAAAAGCAATGTTGCTGGTAAGGAACTGATATTTAAGCCCAAAAGATAGTAATACAAACTCCAGTTGCTGTTATGTAGACCTCTGATTTTTTTTTTTTAAGATTTTATTTATTTATTTTACAGAGAGAGAGCACAAGCAGGGGGATTGGGAGAGGGAGAAGCAGGCTCCCCGCTGAGCAGGGATTCCTATGCGGGCTCGATCCCAGAACCCTGGGATCATGACCTAAGCCAAAGGCAGATGCTTAACCCACTGAGCCACCCAGGTGCCCCTGAGTTTTCTTTTTGTTTTTTTTAATTGAAGAGGCAGGTCAGTAACAATATATTAACATATATTTATATATGCCAGAAAATAATCAGAGAAAAGGTATGTGGTATGGTACTCAGAATCTATTATAAAAATTTACAAACAAACAAAAAAGTTAAAAGAACAGTATAATCAACACTCATGTATCTTTCATCAATGTTCAAATTGTTAATATTTTACTATTTGGGCTTAATCTATATAGGTATGTATTTTTTTTTTCTGAATCATTCTAAAGTAAATTGCAGACATCATGATCAGTCATATTATATTTAGCCTTGGTTTTCAATATCTGCTTTTCTTTTTTTTTTTTTTAAAAACTTTTATTTATTTATTTGACAGAGAGAGAGACAGCGAGAGCAGGAACACAAGCAGGGGGAGTGGGAGAGGGGGAAGCAGGCTTCCCGCTGAGCAGGGAGCCCGATGTGGGACTCGATCCCAGGACCCTGGGATCATGACCTGAGCTGAAGGCAGACGCTTAACGACTGAGCCACCCAGGCGCCCTCAATATCTGCTTTTCAAGTATTTTTTTCATTCATGTTTTATAAAATCCTTAAACAAGATTTAAAAAGAGAATAATTATGTTCATGTTGTTAGAAAGCAAGACTTACAGTGTAAGAGAAAAGAGATTTGATGTAAAAGTCAAATGTATTAAACAAAACCCTTGAAATATTAACTCTACATTGTAAGCATTAGTATTCCTCATATCTTTTTCCTTAAAAAAAATACATATTTATTAGCTCTGTCCACTATGAAGGTCAAGTAACAATAGGAAATAATAACACTGTAGCAATACACACTCCTAGCAACTCTAGTTATGGTCTCTAAACACCACACCCTACCAAGAGAAACCAAAGCTCGTTAGAGGGATGGCTGATGCCAGGACTGGGGCAAGAAAGCATACAAGAAGGCACTGGGAAATCTCGTTGTCCTTGACAGCAAGCAAATCTTACACAACTAAAGAGACCATGCCAAAAGGCATAGGAGCTAACATTAAGAGGCTCAATAGCCAAAGACGAAACAATTGGAGAATCAAAAAATACGACCAAAACGGAAACCCTGAATACATAAAAACACATAGGTACCCGATGAAATAAAAAAGTGCCCTCCCCATCCAAGCCACAAACAATGGATTACTGCCGGAGGTATGTAGGGCATCGACTCCTTATTCTGAAAATGGCAATTAAAGAATTAAGCATTTAGGGGCGCCTGGGTGGCTCAGTCAGTTAAGCATCTGCCTTGGGCTCTGGTAATGACCCTGGTGGCCTGGGATCCAGCCCTGAGTCAGCCTCCCTGCTCAGCGGAGAGTCTGCTTCTCCCTCTGCCCCTCCCCCTGAGCATGCTCCCTCTCCTTCTCCCTCTTTCTCGAATAAATAAATAAAATCTTAAAAAAAGAAAGAATTAAGCATTTATCCAGTCTATTCAGATCAAATTATATACTAGGGTAACTAAATAGCCCCAGCTGATAAAATTTTGCTTTGCAGAAGAATTACAGCTAATACATTTAGAATGCAGGAGACATTTAGAAACTCAGCATTTGGCTATTTCTAGTTAAAACCAATGATTCAGGCAATCATGAAAGCATTACATGAAAGGTGGGTGTGGGTCTTTAAAATGAAAGGAGCAGCCGTTGCTGTGTGAATTCACTATCAATGGTAGAATCATTAGAAAGCAAGACAATCGGATAGCATGTGGTCCCCTGAAATGATTCAATATGAAGTACACAGTACAGTTTATAGAGGTATTCTCACCCCTGAAAGTTACAGCTAAGTTCTAGTTTGCAAGAAATATGAATGATAGAAGAACAACTTAATACCATGAGGAGGCAGGCAAGACAAATCCAGAATGCATGACATTCTATACGACAACTAAGTTTTTTCAACAAAGACAACGTGGGGGAGGGAGGGAGGAGCAATGAAGTGCAGGATGTGAACCAACTATAGGGTGTGGACTCGTTTAGGCCCTGACTTGAACAAACCAACTATAAAAACAGTTTTGAGCTACTTGGAGAAATGTCAGTATGGACTGGGTGTTGGAGGACACCAACATTAATTAATTACTAATTAAGTATTAACTTTGTTGGATGCGATGATAATGGCATTGTGACCATAGGAAAGAATGTCTATCTTCTTAAGAGATGTCTATCTAACCATGCAGGGGTGAAACAACCTGATGACTAGATTTTCTTTAGAAGTGCTTCGCACACACAAAATATGGGAAGTGGGGGTAGATGAAGCAAATATAAAAAAGGCTTGATAATTACTGGGCTTCGGTAACAGGCATCTGGGGGTTCATGACACAGTTCTTTATACTTTTGTGTATTTTTTGAAATTTTTGTAACAGTGTTTTTAAAGATTAAAAGAGAAGTAGCTATCTTCAGAGACAGAATCTGAACAGAAGTTGAAAACATTTATTTGCATTACACTGTCATTTAAAAACAAATGTGGAACTATTTTAAGTAGACTTCTCAAATAAGATGGTCTTACCCACCCACATTAGTTTTTGGTGTCTTTTGAGTGTACCACTGCGGATTTATTGCCAAAGAATTTCTACATTTTTTAAGGAAAAATTACCTGTTGTCAATAATCATTATACTGGAGGATGGAATCCCCAAAACATCACAGCTCTGCAAAAGTTCTTTCTTACGCACCTCCCCTTGATTGTAGTAATTTCCTGAAGATAACAAATACACAGTGGTAGATTTCTTTAATAGTGGAAATCTATCAGTTTACTCATTCTTTTTTTTTTTAAAGATTTTATTTATTTATTTATTTATTTA